GAGACTGGAGAATTTTCCCTGTTAAATAAGTCACTATTTTAAATTCAGCCCCTTTTGAAAACTGCATTCCACTGTAAGAAAGAACAAGAGTAATAGCAAAAACTGCTTTTATTCCCACAGCTTGTGATGGACATGAACTTGATTTGAGAAAAAAAATAAGCTGCCTGAGCAAACAGGTCTGGCTTCTCAGCCCAGATTACAGACTACTCTTATTTATAATCTAAAACCCATAAAACCAACTCCAGTTCAAATGGGGAAATTGCAGCCCAACTGTTTGAACCTTTGCCTATAGCAACTAGTGTCTGTTTTGATCAGCAAGGAAATGGTTACTTTTGAAGTTTAAAACATTGTACTTCAGAGTTAATTCAGTATTTGCTTGAAATAAAAAGCATGAATACTTCAACCATTGCCTTTGATCTTTTGTCTCAGGCTATCAGCTCTAATAGACATGAGTGAATTTCTTCTACTTAACACTCCTTTTTAAGGATGTCCAGAAAACCACAAAAGGACAGAAAGGTTTTCTATTACATAATACAACAAAACTTGAGATCTGACTTTAGGAAAAAAAAAACTGACAACGGTTAAGTTTGAAGACAACAAAGGCAGTTCCCTACCGGGGAGGAAAAAAGCCCCCAAAAAATCCCAAGTAAATGTATATAGAGATTTTTTTATCAGTCTAAACTTGATTTTAAATTATCTCAGAAACCCAAGAAAGTCCTATTCTGCAGATATGTTCAGAATTTTACAACATATTATCTGCAAACCACTTTTTTTTTAAATAAAATCTACAAAAAGTAGTCCATAGTATTGCCTAAAATTAGAAACATTCTCTTTGCTACTTTACTGTATCTTCAGACAGGAGACAGATATTCTACTAAGCAGAGAAGTTAAAATTAACTCATGATATTCACAAAATAGTCTGAGAACACTCTTTCAAACGGCATGAAGGCAGATGGTGCTTATGTTCAGCACCATGTAACACTGACTGTCACTCAAATACACTTCAGCTATGAGTTCTACCGCTGTTTTAATTACTATAGCAAATCCATACATTATACCTTTAATGGGTCCACAATTTTGTAACATTAAAACATAAATTCTTTTAACTAAAGGTTACCCATGAGTAGGCACTGTGCACTGTTTGCAGAGGAAAAGGTTAAAATATTGAAATATAAATAAAGCTTAAGAGCTTCCTGAAAAAAAAAAAAATTAAAAATCTGTTAAAGTATATGTTGAAAAACCTATTTAAACTCTCATCCACTCATTATTATTTATTAAATTCAGCAGCATGGAGGGGGAAAGCATAGAAAAGCACCCCACCCTGCTCTTAATCTCATCCAAAAGGTCTATAGCTGCAATTATAGTGAGGCCAATCTCACTTGTCAGCCAGGGAACCTCTGAGGCATTCCTGATTCCAGGTAGGGTCCTTACAAGTTGGAAAGAGAGGAATGGCATACTACTAAATGGAGTAGTTCACAACTCTTCAGATCTAGGTTAGGGTACTCTAGGCGAACCTTAAGGAAACTTTACTGTCATGTTCCTTCTGATTGACCGTAAAGCTCACTTTAAACACCAAGTCACTGCAGCACTTAAGTTCCACACTACTTTTCTGAATAACTTGTTCCTTTCCTGCCCTTCAAATACATGTGTCATTTCCCTAAGGTAATTTCTGAAAGCAAGCACTATAGAACAAACTACTACTCCCTTTTCAGGGATGTTTTACTAATAAACCAAAAGCCTTCAAAGTCTTCAAGTTATGTTAAATTTTTTATTAATGAAAAAACAAAAAGCTAAAAATAGGACAACAATTGTAACAGTACTGTATTCATTGTAGCAATCTGATCCTTCTTCACTAGCCCACAGCAGTATTTCTCTGCAGCTGAATGATTTAAGAACAACATTGACTGTTCCACTGTGCTCCTCATGCACTACAGCTTCTTTCAGGAGTGTTGTAAGGACACAAAAACAATTTGTAAGAGGCTCCTTACACACCATCAAGTAAAAAGATTAAATCAGCCTACTTCTACTGCTCCACTCTAAAAAAAGAAATAAGCTACTGGACTTGCTCAATAAGTAATGGAGGTCAGACACAGAAACTTTGCAGAGAGGTCCAAGACTGTTTCATTCCTGTAGAAATCCAGATGGTCTGGTTCAGTTCTGGACTTAAAGCTCCCTTCTAACTCCCACTCTTTTCAATCATAAATCACTTACAGATTTATATTAAGAAAACTGAAAATCAAGTTCAGACCCAGTATAAACCGTGCAGCTTTAACTGAAGTCAACATAATTTATTTTCAGCCAAGAGTCTTGCAACACTTCCAACTGAAATCCTTTTACCTTGATATTAATTCTAGTGC